ACATGATCTAGCTCAGTCAAAGTGATGAACAATGTGAGTATAAGTACATAGGTTCACTCTTCTCATGAATCATAAAAAATGAAATTACAAAATAGATAATAATATATGTAAAACAGTTGTTTAGTTATAATAGTTATTATTATGTTATAATAGTTTGACCAAATGCTATAGATAGTTGTTGTAGTTTGCGACTGTAGAAGCAACAGTTAGTTACAGATGCCAGTCGGCCACAAATGTCATAGTTGGTGGCTACAAAGACAATATTTTACCATAAAAGCTATTGTCTATGTCTGCAATAGCGACAGTTGTCCAAATAGGCCATTATTGAAAACTATAACAATTGTAGTTGGTCACAAAAATCGTAGTTGTTTACTACAAAGGTAGTAGTTGGTCATAAAATCTGCAATCTCTGCAATAACGTCAGTTAGCCATAGATGTCGTAGTTAGAGATTATAACTGCAGTAGTTCGTTACAAATCATAGCTGGTGATTATAAATATAGTTGTTGGCCATAAAATATATAGTCGGTGGGTCCAATAGCAACAATTAATCACAAAGGATGTAATTAGAAACTCTAATAGTAGTAGTTTGTCATAAAGATCATAGTTAGTTATTAAAACAATAGTTGGTCATAAAAGTCATAGTTGTATAACGACAGTTGCAAGCAAAGCTCATCGGATGTTAGTGGTTGACAACGACTGATGGTGAAGGCTAGCGGTGGTCAACGGTGACCAATGACTATAGATGCTGGTGGTTATTCATCATATCTTTAATACATGTGTTAGATGCAACAATTGTATTTGAAATACAAATGTTGCAAACAATGATCACCAGTGGCTAGTCGTTGTTGGTGATAGCCAACCATTGTTGATGGTTGCTAACAAGTGGTTGTCGATAGAGTTTGACAAGTATCGCCTGGATTAGACGCAACAACCATATTTGAAATGCAATAGTTACGAACATGGGTTGACGACAACTGATGGTTTGCAGCTGCAGGCGTTGACAATTGACAGTTGACGGTGGTTGGCGAGTGGTGGTCTGCGGCTATAGAGGATGGTGTTTATCATCGATTCTTCTCTCCAAAATAAGCTTTAGCATTTCTCTTTTTCTTTTCCTCCTCTCAAGTAAAGAGAGGAGACATATTTATACTTTTTTTTAAAGGGCATTTTGGTCTTTCAGCACATAAATTCTCTAATCACTTGATAGGATGGTTTGTGTTAACACCACTTGATCATAGATGATTCATTAAGGATTTTGGTGCCCTAATGACCACAAAATTTAACAATCTTAGGCTGATTGTATTCCCTCATCGAGATGCTTGATAGACTATAAATCTGCAGATTTTTTAGTTCATTTGATTATTCAATTGACAATCAAAAGCCTTCGATTGTGCTTCAGTGACTTGAATTGGACTTGATTAAATTTGAATTGTAACAATTTTGTCATCATTAGATTTTTAATGTCGAGATGGTCAATTCGATTATATATTTGTTGAAATCGGTGCATGTGTGATCTTGAATTTGAAGTTGGAAGATTTCTTATTGAAAAATGTCTCGAGATTCGTGTTTGAAAATTTATTCTCTGCATGCCAAATTTAAAATTATTTTAGTTGAAATAACATGTAAACAAAGTGACCTCTGTTACATCAAACTATCTAATTTTGAAATATATGAATATTATTAATTAAATTATATTTAAATCTATGCAAAAAATTAATTGGCCTAAAGGTAGATTATTTATTTGTCGGATTATACATATACATAGTAGAAAATATGTGATTATTTCTTATTATTCATGCATCCAAAGAAAGACATATTGTTGACATAATTTATTATCAATATTTATTAAGTATAATTTATGTTAAAAGAAAAAAAAATTATAATGTTGAGGTATTGTTTGTGAGCCCATCTTAATTATTACATGATGAGCATGTATATTATTTATAACTTATTAACATAGAAATGATAATTTTGTTAATTAGGCTTATTTTTTTTATTCTTTTCATTCAATGTTTCTTATATATTTGTCAATTTAAAATGTTAAATACAAAGAACATATCACCGCAGTTCTTTGGTACATAGATCTTGACTATGCGGTTTGGACTGAGCGTTCTTCCGCCCTTACTGTAGAAAACACTCTTGAATAAAAGGACTTATTTTGAAAGTACGAGCGTTCTAACCATATGAGTCTTATGATCATGAATTACTCTATTTCGAAAACCATTAGAAGTGCAATTCCTGAAGAGGAATGTGCTAAAAAATTTTTAAGCTAAAAAAACAGATTGTTTCATTACTTATGAAAATGTTGAAATAAGTAATATACATAGTAAACCATTTCGAAAGCGGTATAAAGAGAATGAAAACATAAGAGAGTACGTTATGAAAATGTCTAATTCTGTTATTATATTGAGGACATTAATGTTTGAAGTATCTGATGACATTCTTCTGCACCAAGTCTTGATCTCTCTTCCCGCCCAATTTAATTATTTCAAGATAAGTTGTAATACTGAGAAGAAAAAATTGATTCTTAATTCATTGCTCATTGAGTGTGAGATGAAGAGGTTAAACCAAGATAAGAGTGAAAGTGTTCATTTTTCAACTTTCCCTCGTGTCATTGTTGCTAAGAGAAATATGACTTATAAGAGAAATAGAGCTAAAAAAAAGAGATTTTATAGCATAAGATGCATCAATAATGTGATATTATTACCATATTTTTCATTTGCAAGAAAAGTGGTCATATATATAATTTTACATAATTTCTTAAGATCACAATTCAGATGAGGTACATTATTTGAGATGTACATAATGAAAATTTTATAGTTGACAAAAAAAGATGATCTACATCAATTTCTGCTTCACAAAGTGCTATTAGAGTTATTGTTTCTTAATTTCAATTGCAGTACATGATGTTTTTTCAAGACCGTGTTGCTAGAGAATTTTGAAGCCACCGACATAACTAAATTTACTAATTAACTTGTAAAAAACATTTATTTTTATCATACAATGTTATTAATGTAATGTTGACTTTATTTTATTTTGGGATAAAATATCATTTGCCTTATTGTCGGATGTATAAGATATTATTTTATTGCGAAATAGTATGTTAAAAGTTAACACACTTTGATGTGTCAAGTTTGATATTGTTGCTATAAAATTATTATAAGCTTTATATATATGAGTATGAAATATTTACATAGTTAGAATTGATGATTTTTTTTATAAAAATTTTTTATATTGTCAGTTTTTAAAAACACATAAATCATAAAAACACAAATCACAATTTCTAAAAACAGAAAATAAAAAAAAAAAAATAAAAAATATACAACAACAAACAACAACAACAAAGCCTTAATCCCACTATGTGGGGTCGGCCAATAAAAATAAAAAATATAACAAACTAAAAATAAAAAAAAACTGAAGGTAACCCAAAGATAACCCAAACTTTAATTTTTACTTACATTACATCTTATCATATATTTCAGTTATTAAAAATTAAAGTGACGGTATTTTTGCTCTGATATTGAAGATTTGTGTATTATATATATATACACAACAAAACTGAGGAAAAATTATTACATCATGACTCCGTATGCAACTTTGCATGCGGAGTCTAATCTAGAGCTGATACGTGGAAAGTTTAGACTCACCTCAAAAAAATTTTAAAAAAAAAGAATAAAAATGCGTGACCCGACCCAACCGTGTTTTAGGAATATTCTCTTCGGGTTATTCTGATATTTTCTGCGTTATTCATGTATTATTAATGTGTTATTGAGTTGATTTTGAGATATTATTGTTCTTTAAACAATAATACGAATAACACATGAATAACGCAGAAAATATTACTTCAATAACACATAAATAACACATGAATAACACACCAATAAAACATTACTCGACTCGACTCGACCGTGTTATAAAAATATTCCCTTCGCGTTATTCTGAATATTTTCGCGTTATTGATGTGTTATTGATGTGTTATTGAAGTGTTATTCATAAATAACACATTAAAAACACGAAAAATATTTCCTGACATGAATAACACCTCAATAACACACGAATAACACATGAATAACATAAAAAAAATATTCAAAATAATGTAAAGAAATATTCAGTCCGTTGGGTAGTTCATTTTCAATCTTATTTTCATTTTTTTTTATGTAGACCCTGTGAATTTGGGAAAATATTTGCGTACATAAGATGTACGCAGCTTTGCGTACATCAGAGGTTATTCAGGGGGTACAATGAGATTATATCTGGGTTATACTCCCTTGTAACCTCCGGTATAACCCGAATATAACTCCTTTGTACCCCCAGAATAACCTCTGATATATGCAGCGCTGCGTAAATCTTATGTACGCAAATATTTCTCGTGAATTTGAGCCTGAATTTCAGAAGCAGAATCCTGATGTAAAAATTTTTCAAAGATCAGAGCCTGAAAGTTGATGTAACCACCGAAATAAAAATACATAATAACATAGTACTGCACCTGTTCCCATAGCCGCAATCATATACATTCATTATCATGGTACACAATCACACAAATACATTCAGAAAATATCTGTTCCAATGACCACCGGTCTATATACCCAAAAAGATAATCCCGTCACATCATAGCGTCTTCACCGATGTCCGAACATACTAATTTCGCCAAACCTCAGGTTAAGCGAGCTTGGGTTTAGCTTTCGTCACATCAGTGAAAGTAACCTGAGCCCCCAGCGATATTTTACTAGCTTCAGCGGTAAACGAATCGTAGCGGAGGAACAGCTCCGCCACCAAAAGCCGGGAAACCAACACCACGAAGTTCTTACCTGCGCACTGCTTGTTCCCGACCGTCGGATCCTCCGTCTCCGGACCATTCGACCAACACAGGTACTTTAGAAGCTTCCCGTCGTCCCCAACGAAGCGATCCGGAACGAACGTCTGCGCGTCGGATCCGAAAACCCTAGAATCGGTGGTGGCGAAGGGCTGGTAGCCAAATATCATCTCTCCCTTTCGCACTAGGAATGCGGCGTCGTGGTTCTCCAGAACGAAATCTTTCTTGGCATGGCCGTATTGGTAAGGGACCGGCGGTTCTATGCGCAGCGCCTCGTAGACGACGGATTTGACGAGATCCATGTTCTCCAGCGCGGTAATGGTGAGCTGACCGTTCTCGCCGACGGCGGAGCGGACCTCGGAGGCGATGCGGGCATGGAGATCGGCGTGCTTTCCGCAGGAAGCGAGCCATTTGAGGATGATGGGAAAGAGAACCTTGAAGCCACCGTAAGCGTTGAAGATTGTGGTGTAGAGTAGGTTATTGATGGCCTCTTCGCGAGAGAGGCCGATTTGTGCGGCTATGTTGTCGACTGCGTGAGCGCCGACGGATTCGAAGTAGGAGTAGAGAGCTTTGTATTGGGATTTGACGAGGAAGGATGGGATGGGGAAAGTGTGGAGCAGAAGATCTTCTAAGAACCACAAGGGGAAGAAGCGCTCTGCGAGGATTTTGCTGGCCAGGGGAGCTAGCTGGGGCAGTAGCCACATGATCGCCTTCGTGTCGAGGGAGATACCCGTTTTAGAGGGGCAGGTGCCGAAATAAGCATCGCAGAGGAATTCGAGGGCAAAATGATCGTTGAGCTTATTGAAATCCGAGCGGCCATCGGAGGCAATCTGGGACTCGAGTTTCGTGAAAACAGGGGTGATGAAGGAGGCGCGGAATGCAGGGACGATTTCAGATTTGCGAGAGGCGAGGAGATTGAAGAGGAATTGTTTCACCTTAGTATGGCTGGGTTCAGAGGGATCCAGATTGGCGCAGATGCGGTAGTTTCCGGTGAGTTTGGTGGAAGGTATGTACGTGCCGTACAGAACGTCCTTCTTTTCTATCTTCGTATTGTCGAAGAGAACAGGGAAGCTCTTGGCGTCGAGAACAACGATGACTCGGGGGTTGGACGCCATGAACGGCCCTGGAGGCATGTTGGCGCGGAAAACTGTGGATCCATATCGCTCGATCCTCGACTGGAAGAACTTATCCTGACCCTTGAAGTAGAAGTATTCCAGTCGGTCCAAGAACGGGGATACGAAAGGGATGCCGCAGCTCCCCGGGATTTCCTTTATCTTGAGAGCGTTGCTGGTAGCAGAGTGATCGCCATAACCGGTATTTTCTTGAGCTTCTGCTGCTTCTTTCTGCATGGCGGAGCTCATGACTAACAAACACTATTCTGATTGATGCTTTGAAAGGAAGACCTTCATATGCGTATAAAAGATGAGGCAGGGCTGAGGGGAGCCACACGCTGATTGAAGTTGGGCCTGCCCTGCCATTAAATTATGAGCATGAGACACAACAACGTGAAATGCGTGGACATATAAAAACCCAGAAAGGTGTTCCGAGGATGATTGCTTCCATCTTATTTATTAAGTAGAAAGTATATCAAATTATTTTAATGTATAATTTGCAAAAATACTGGGATGGATCATGGATATGCTCTCAAATTTATTTTAGAAAGGGTGAAATCAGCTTAATAATATCATGTTTATTTTAAGAGCAAATATTATGTATGTTGAATGATATAAATATATGAATGTGTCGAGTTTTTTTTTTCGAGCTTGGAACAATGTCGTTGGCGTACATGCCGGAAAACACACGTAATATTTTTTCATGAATTATGAATAGAGGTTTAGATGATAAACATGGGATACACGACTCTTATTATGACAATCTATCTTCATGTACCAAGAGATTATATAGTTTCTCTTTTGGTTTTTTTTTTTCTCAATTTCTATTTATCTCTCATTTCTTAGTTGCTATTATGATAATTAGGGTTGTTAACAATATGATTTTGAGCTGTGTTGGGTCAGCTTGAATAAATTCAGTGTGGCTTGAAATCGTCTCGTGACTCGTTATATTCAATTCGAGCCGAGTTGGCTCGAAATTGAATCGAGCTCAAAATCGAAATGAGCTGACTAAGATTGAGTTATTTGGATCCGTTCCCGCTCGAAATCGACTTGAAATTGACCCATGAGTCATTGTATTCAATTTTACTTCGAATATACACATATTTTTATAAATATTTGATTCGAAGTATTGGCTCTTAGCTCGGCTCATTTATTTTGATTTGACCCAAAAATTTGAATTGATTTTTAACGATTTTTCGAGCTAAATTCCCAACCCTACTAGTAATATCTACTCGTAGCCCATGTATGCATTAGTTTAGATGTCCTCTAAGGTTGCGTGTGCGTAGGTTGATGACAAGAACTAGAAGTCTGGTTTTGATGACAAGAACTAGAAGTCTGATTTTTCAAAACAGATTTTTCAAAACATGTGTGAAGTGAATTATTGTTTGGGATGGAGACTTGAGAATTTGTTACTAAGACGCAAATTGAATAAGAAGAAGAAAAGTTATCTTGAATGAGCTAAGTTGGCTTTAGAGTAGGCTCCAAGTGGCATCGCTTGCATAGGCATTCACAAATTTTCTTAATCCTTGATAAGTATCAAGTTTGTTTCACTTGTTACCATGGACCCCAGCGGTGGACAAACTTCATTACTCGCAAAGCAACAATCTCTAGATTTTATATGGCATGAAGGGCTATAAAGTGTCATACCAATTTGGTTAACAATAGATCCAAGTAAATCATCAAGGCACATTTTTAACAATTTAAGAAGCCCATATCGAATAAATGAATAGTGATAATGCTCTATTATGAGGATTATTCCTGACCACCTTAAAGGGATCATCATTCTAGTCGTTTAGGCTTTGTTTAAGAACACTATGAAGTTTAGGCTTTGTTTAAAAACACTATGAAGTACGAACCTCCTTCGCCCTCCCGTGCCCGTCTACATGAACAAAAAATTTACTTGGTGATCGAGTATTACCCGAGCTTCTTCCGAAGTTCTTTTACAAGAATGATAATTTTTTTTTTAATTTTAGATCGCAGGTCACCTTTTTCATTTTATACCGAATGATGATGTTCACTCAAACAAACCCTTGATTACCTTTCCTTACGGTGTTTCATCTCATTCCTGAAATTTATAAGGCAATTCATCACTTAATTTGTAAGATTATGTCACTAAAGAACTTGATCCCAAGCCTCACTAAAAATGAGACATTTGCAAAGCAAGTTTTTGTAAAGTTTCAGCATTGAATGCTAACGAGCTATTATACAAGGGAATTGAAGTCAGCTGTAGGATAAGCCACCCAAGGTTTGATTAAAAAGAATCAAGTATTGTGGTATTCAGTCAGCTTGCCATAGTTGTGTGTCTTGGCCAAGTAATAAACCCATGATAAATATTAAGGAATATAACTGATGCATGTTAGAGAATATGTGGTGGTTGAGTAATGAATTAACATCTAGTGTTGTACGAGAATCCAACACATACTCAAATAATAATAAAAAAAATAACCAGTAGATATTCCAAAATTTTTACGTGGAAAACTAGGGAAGTTTCCGAAAAAAACTACGGGGTTTAGTTAGAATAATCTACTATAAATTGATGATTACACACCGTCTCACAAAAATGAGAGCACTGCACAATTTCTCAAGACACAATCTTTATTTCATATTGGTCGAGGGTAATTGAAGTTGGTAACAGTTGATGGGACTCAATTATCCAATTTTTGAGGTGCGTTGGAACCCGATATTTAGAATGACGTGTTGTTTCGTAGTGTAAGCTGAGATGCCACAATGCACGCTATGATTTATCAATGAGCTTCATCTAAAAGAGTAGCAGCTCTGGTATTTCTCTGACTCAAGCAGGGTTCTATTTATAATATCAAACATTATCGTGATCGGTGATGAAGCTCTAGATCAACACTATAGTGATCAATGACTTAAGTTTGATTGGCTTTGAAAGTAAATGATTTATGTTTTGGTGCTTATAAAATATCAGGCAAGGGCCAACGCTAAAGTTGGGCCTATCCTGCCCATTAAATTATTATCATGTAAGATGACAAAAGTGACAGCGTGCAAATTTAATAAACGGAAAGCCATATAGAAAATTTGATAGCGTTTATCTTATTTATTTAGTAAAGATGTACAAATGCCTGCCTACAAATACATTCAAGATCACAATCATGTATAATATTTTTAGGGCAACTCCAAACTATCATTAATGGTTTGCAAATCCAATAACAAAAAATTTTCAAAAATATTAGGATACATCAATATACTCCCAAAATTGTTTGAGGAAAAGTTCAAATCAACTTAATAATTGGTTTAGTTAGTCTGTCTTTTCAGTTGGATGGGAGAGAATATTATTTGTGGAGTCCATATGTATGTAAATTTCTTATACAATATTGTTGTACATATAAGTACAACAATGTACAACACTGTTGAACAAAACGTCTAGATGCATGCGGACTCCGTATTAAATATTTTTTACTTGGAGCGAGTTCAGGTTGTCCGATGTCTCGGAGTCAACTACATAATGCTGACAAAAGTAATTAAGGTAACTTGCCTATTTACTTAATTAGCCTAGGCAGATTCCTTCAAAGGTTTTAGCAAAACAACGAATTAGTCAGAATTTTGCCTTAAAGATGAAGTTGATATTTACTTGGGCTTGCCTAATTAATGAATAATGTTGACACATATCTAAGATTCATAGTCATTTTTTTATTCTAAGACGATTTCTTATTAGGTGGTGATAGCCGGTGATTGTTAACGTTTGATAGGAGATAAAGTTTTTAAATTCATTAGACCGCGAGCTGTCTCGTTGCATACCAGACTGCATGTCGGTCTATTTATATTTTGATAAATTAGTTAAATTTGAGAAGACATCATCAAATAGCTTGATACACCACCAACAAATTTCCATCATCCAACACAGATCTTGTGGCAATTTGGACAAATCTTGAGATAAAGTTTGAGCAAGAAACATTCAAACTTCGATTAAGTGTCATTTAGAACTTCGATGTAGCAAATGTTCAGTCAAACCGACTGGCTAGATGAGATGAGAGGCCCAACGATATGAAGATGGAAACAATCTAAGTCAAATCAAGTCGTTAAACTGCTTTGGAATCTTTAGTGCATGATTGAAATGTCATAAAAATTCCAAATATAACAAACTTATAGTCAAATCGAGCGTCTTAGTGAGATAAATCTAACGAGCCTAAGATCGTTCAATTCTGATATCATTTTGGCCTTAATGGTCCACTGAACACCATCTGATTGAGGGAACCTTTCAAGGCTGTCTAATAGAGTGATTTGAAATTTTTTCATATTTTCAATATAGACTCTATAAATAAAGTCCTACCCTTCTCTTGAGAAGAAGGATAGGCCTGAAGACAAAAGAAGACTGAAGCTTAGAACAGAAGCTACAGTTTAACATTTCTTCTGCACCGCAGATTCAACGAATACCTACCACTCCAGCAGTCGTCATTGCCCACTCCGACACACGCAAATCTAGCCATCGCTGCCACCCAACTTCGGAGAACGTCGCTTACCAATTGTGGTTGTTATCACCTTTGGCAAGTGCCTCTTCGATAGTTGCCGCCTCTAACCAACATTAGTCACCACTGTGGAATCCTGACGTATATTGTAGAGAATTAAGGCATCTTGCATGACAACATACCCCGAATACACTGCAATGACACTCTCATGTGACAGTGTAACAACACACCCATCATACAACCCAACGACACCTCCCTAGAAAATGGTGTAACAATGCTCTGAATACGGTGCAATAACATATCCTGATGACAGTGTGACAACACACCTCACATACGATGCAACGATGCCTCCCAAAGAATGTGTAACAATATCCACGAATGCAGTACAATGACACACCTCCATGAAGATATAACAACAAACCTCACATACAATACAACGATGCCTCTCGAAGACAGTGTAACAATGTTCTTGAATACAGTGTAATGGCACACTCTAATGACAGTATAACAATGCACTCCACATATGATGCGATTACCCCTCCCAATGATGGTGTAGCGATACACCCCACATACGACACAATGATGCTTCTCGATATTGGTATAGAAATGCTCCTGAATATGACTCAACGATACACCCAATGATTGTGTAATGACACACCACACATATTTCATAATGATGTTTCCCAAAGACCATGTAATAATGCCCCCAAATACGTTGCAACGACACACCACGATGAGAGTGTAACAATGCACCCCATATAAGATAAAACGATGCCTCCCGAAGTTAATGTACCAATGTCCCTGAAAATAGTGCAAGCAAACACCACGACGATTGGGCAAAAATGCACCTCACATATGGTGCGACGATGCCTCTTAACGACGGTGTAACAACGAAACCCACATATGACATAACGAAACCTTCTGAAGATGGTATAACAATACCCCCTAATATGGTGCAGTGACACACTTCAATGACATTTAACAACGCACCCCACATACAACGCAAT